TCAAATGCGACTGTGGCTTTTTTTCCCAAAAAACTTTGTCTTCAAAATAAGGGTGCGTCTTGTATTCCGAAAAATACGGTAAATAGCACTAAGAAATGTTTGCGAACAAAGGTTTGTTTCATTTCACTTTGCAAGATGTATATTACATTAAAATCTGGTATAAATATTCCTAATTTCCATTGCCATTTGAACTTCTTACAAAATTTTCATGACTGCTTATCAGTGTGTTAATTATTGTTGATACTTCAGTGAAGATTTTATTGATTTATAAAAACCAATTCTATCAGAAGTTCATTACTTCCATGTTGTATGAATCTGTAGCGTTTTATTCTAAACGTGACAAAATAATTTAATATTTTGAGTCCTGCAGCAAACAGCTCATATTTCAGTAATGTTATTAAGCAATGCTAGAGCAAATTCAAGAATAAATTCTGCCAAAAATTGAAATTATATTTCGATTCTAATAAGTGGTAAGTACAAGTTCCATAAAATACCAATACTAACAAATACAAATTACAGTTTCCTTCCTTCTCATGGTGTTTGTTATAAGGCATTTTTTACCAGTTAAGCCACTTTTTCAATGTCTTTCATTAAAAAATGTCAAGTGAGACAATTCTATACACACAACACATGCACATTTTGTTTTTCAAGTTGGAATCTTTGTTTATAAGTTTGTATTTAGTTGAAGCAGCCAAGAACATCTGCTTCTAGAGTTTCAATGTATTAAGTAGCTGTCTTTCAGGATATAAACAAAACTTCTGTGAACGTAGCCAGTTTCTCCTTTTGAAAATGGTTCCCTGATGTACTGGGCTATATCGGCTTTTCCAGTAGTATACACGTATTTTTGGACTTTATAAAATAAAATCATCTTATTTCCTAAGAAAGTTCAATATTGTATAACTTTATCATAAAAAATTATTCTTTCTCTTCCGATCATTTTGTATAAACTGAGATTATGACACCACAACACTACTATCGAACATCAAATGCAAACTTCTTGTTTGGCTGGTAGTTGAAACTCATTGCAGTTATACTAATATTCAACAAAAGCAAGAAACTTAATGCAATTTTCTAAGGCTGAATATTTTAAAACACAAAAATTGGTAATGTAATGTAGCTGAGCTCCTAATATACTGTAATTCATGAGTAGAATGTATCTCTTAAGAACATCATTATGCAAAACATAACAAATCAACTCTCAATCTCAATCAGTAATAATCCTGAAACACTACCCACAATCAAACTATTCTAAAAGAACAAATTATCATAAAAATAAATGTTAAAAGACAAATTACTTATAAAGAACAAATTAGCATAAAAATGATGTAACCTCTTCATGACCAAACTGTGAAAGACACTACACTTCTATGAAATGAAAATTACATTACACCAAACATTGGAAAATTAGTTGTTATAAGACACTACACTATATCATCTACAAAACAACTTCACCGTAATAGGCATTTCAGTATGAAAAACATTTGTTTAACAAACAGTTGAATATAAATGCGAATATAGGTTAATGACATTTTATGTAGGTGTATTTACAAAGTGCATAAAACCTTGAATGAACCATTTCTTGGAATAGAATCTTTCTTTTTTATTATGAGAAATAGAAAACTAAATATTTAAGAGGCTACTGTACACATTCTTAGTGAGTAAATATAAAAGAGAAAAACAAACGTTCACTTATGCTATGTTGGGTAATTTATTTTTCTAATTTTACTGTAAATTTAACTGAACTCATTTGACAAGAACAAATGACCAATTCTTTGTAAACTTGAAAGGCAATAAGTTGGTCAAAACTTCTATCAAAATGAGACCGATACTTTTATAAAGTTTCTGCCCTAAAAATTCAATGAAATTACTCGTAACACCACTGTCATTATATTTAAACTTCTAAAAATTACAGAGTGCAATAGTTATATAGAAAATCAACATCAATATCTGAAACCTTAAAAGAAACTCATTAATACAAAATATTACATAGGAGCAAGTATACATAAAAACTAACACCTACTTATGTATTTACAATATGTACAAGACAACATCTGCATTACACCTCAATTCTGTACAGTAAGTGTCTTTGAATTTTTAAGGATAGTTAAACTAGTTTTAATGCTGAAAAAAAAAATTTACAAAGATTTGCGAATGATATATTATTCCAGATATCATAGTGAATTTAAAATCAATTAGCAATTAAAGCTATAAAAATATTTTAAACTTTAAGAACTTTCTTTTCTTTAAAAATTAAACACCTCAGATTTTTTTGTTGCTTGTTGTATTTCCTTATGCAATTTTTCAGTTTTCTTATTCTTTAACAATATCGTTGCAAAATATAAGTACTATATGCCTTTCAAGGCACAAAATTAAAGTTTACTGGCAATATAGTTAAGAACAGTAAATTGCATGTAGATTTAGACTGTGCATATAAGTCACAACCAAGTCGTTAATCTATATATACACACACATGTATATAACTAATGTTTTGCATTTATAGGTAGATTGGCAGGATTTTAAAAACTTCTACAAAGTCTTGTGTAATCTGAAGAATTTTTATTTTACCACATTATTCGCTGTATTTCTGATTGTCCTTCCCAGTAGAAAGGCTTATTCAGGAACAAAACTAATGTGAAGGCATTAACAAAAACATAAATTGAAAATTCCAAAAATAACTGAATATAGCTGTTCACTTGAATATTCAGCCTGAATAAAACATAAGGTATGATAAAGTATCTGAATTCAAGCAATTTCTGCGGTACAACTGACAAAACTAAACAGAGAATATAAAGTAACTGCCAAACAGAATCTTTATGTTGCAATGTCTGCAATACTGTCCAGCCACTGAAAATGTAGACAGGAATAAAAGCACAACTCAACAGACTATTTCGGCCAAGAAATCTCTGCCACACATAGAAGGTTAAGTGTCGATTATCAGCTAGAAGATACGGATGAATTTGAACTAAATATTCTAAAACCAGAATCATAACGGCTGTGACTGCAGCAGTGAGAACCCATTCCTTAATACAAAAAGATATAAATTTCTTTACTTTTCCTGGTGACAAAAGGAAAGGACTACAGAACACTAAGACAAAGCCCAGAAAATAACACACTTGAGAAACATTGAAACATAAGACATGGGCATCTTTGTCACCAAGCGCAAAACCTTTGTTACGATACAAAAAAACAATAAACCCTACTGCTGTGAGAAGGTAGCCTCCGCAAGTATCTAGAATATCTATGAGCACATTTACAAATTGTTTTTTGTGATGGACTGGTAGTGCTGCAGTTGTTGAGATGAATTTTTTAAGAAACTGAAGGCTGCTACTTTTCTTCTCTAGTTTAGTCCTCTTCATTGTTATGTACACAGAACTTTCTGCAGCCATCTGAAAACAAAGTGTGAAATTTCATCCATCATGAAATGTATAACTAGTATTTTATTTTATTACAAGGAGCAAATGCACATTTTAAACAACACTCTCACATTCACATATGTTCTTAAAACATGGTTATTATTAGTGTTAGTCACTAGTTATCTTTTCAGAAGTGTATGTACTTATACAGATAAAATGAAGTATTATTCACCTACCTTCATTTGTTCTTAATCATAAATAAATTATATGCAACAGGTGTATATTACATACAACATCAACTCTGAAAAATGTGAAACATTGAGCTATGATTAAATTTATAACACAGTTCTCAAATTAAAATATAATTAAATTATGTTTTTACTTATAGATAACTAATACATTAACTGATCATCAATCACTCTTCTCCACCTTTCTTCCACGTCAAAAAGTGAAAGGAAGAGATATGGCTTCATGTATATATACACATGTAACCATCACAGATCCTAGTCTTATCCATCTTTTTCTACACATCAATAAATGAGGAGGGAAGAAGGGAATGCACCTAAAACTGAAGATAAAGTTTTAAATCAATTTCATTTTAAAAATGTAGATGTCAAAGTATGCAGCAGTTGTAGATTCAAGTGTAGCTAGAATGCAAGGTATGTCCTAAAGACAATCTCACGTACTGGGAATAAGAGCTTTAGCAAGATCTACTTAGATGACACACACTGTGATATAAACAAAATGAAAGTTCATCAAAAAAGGGCACAAAGGTCAAATCTACAGAGGGAAAGATGTCATACAGGAACAAACACTTTACCTGAACACAAGTTCTTACTGCATAAAGTGGAAAGATTAATGCAATATGCCACATACCAAAATTAGAGCACAAAAGAAAGCTGTTCAAAACAACAGCCTAGAGTATAAATGACAAAAAAATGATTCAAGTGAAATAGAATATATAATAAATGTACTAACACTTACAAAAAAAACCCAGATTATACTTGTCTGTCGAAAGAAAACTGCCATCACACCAAACAAAGCGGCTACTAAGTCTTGTCCTTGAAGGTGGAATGTGTACATCAGAAGGAAAAAGAAAAGGTTTCCAACATCAGTGTAGTATAAGAAAACGAAGAAGTATGTTAATGGAAAAATTGAAAGGTTTAAGCAAGATAGCAATAGCTTGCTTTCAGAAATCTGTAAAAAACAAAAAACTTCAATAAGAACTCGGATAAACAATATAAAAACATATACTGATATGTTCTTGAATGATTGTGACAACACTTTTCCTAAGATAACATATCTTTAACTTAATACACAGTAAAAAAAATCTGAATGTCTAAAACTACATAATTTTGAAAAATACTATAAAGTAAAAAAAAAGATATACCACATTATAAACAAGAAGCAACATTTGAACAAAAAATATTACGTTCTTATGTTCTATCATAGGTTTATGTATCAAGTTAATTGCCAAACTACTAACTTGTTTTTATAATATTTAGTACCATTGGTGTTCAAATAATTAAGTATTAGAACTCAATAGGGCCATAGTGTATCTATTAAAAAAGTGAAAAACACCTTCATTTTTCTCTGCTACCCATTCAATCTGTCTCTAAACTGTATAAACTTACCTTATCCCAAGTTATACGATGTCTTCTCTTTGAAGAAAATTTCTGCAGGTTTCACACAGATATAATTTAACACAAATTCTTTTAAGTGAACTTCCTTTCAGATCTTGAAGAGTTTAAAATTATATATCTAATAAAATCTAAAAGGTAGAATAAAGAAATGATAAGTTACACAGAATTTTTATTATATGGAAATAAAAAATGTACTTTAAGAAGTGTTGACAGGCAGCAGAATACATTACTAAAATCCTTGTATAGTATTTAACATAACATAATGTTCTGGGACAACATGGGTCCTATTGGTCCATCTCGGCTGTTTCATCCTCTAAACTAAATTAAAATAATTAAAAAAACAAACACAAGTTTCTCAAATGCTTCAGAAAAGACACTGAATTGTTGGAAAAGGTTCAGAGAATGGTTATTAGAATGGTGCCTGGGATGGAGGGGGTTGTAATACGAGGAGAGGCTGAAATCTCTCAAATTGTTTTATCTTGAAAAAAAAGAGAGTTAGTGTGATCTGATTGAGGTGTTTGAGATTGTAAATGGAATCAATAGTGTTGATGCATCATCTTTTTTCATTTTTAACAGTGAGAATAGTAGGACTAGAGGACACAAATATATATTTTGGCAAGGTAGGAGTCATCTTCAGCTAAGACAGTTTCATTTTTTAACGGGGTGGTTGCACTTTGGAATGGGTTGCCTTCAGATGCTGTAGAGGCAGTAAATTTAAGTGAGTTTAAGAAACAGTTTGATAAGTATATGAATGATAAAGGCTGGCTTTATTTTTTTTAAACATGTATTTAAATTATTAAAAATTTTAGTGACCTCAGTGGGCCAAATGACTCTGTGTCATTCACTTATTCCTTAAATTCAATGTTATTCGTTTATAAGAGGAAAAAAACTTAATATTTATGGTTTTATGTAAAATGTTCTTGCATATAGCTTTCATTACATCTAATTTTCTTTACCTGAGGGTGCAGATTTAAAAGCAGACAGTATAACAAGTAGAAATTTCCAAATACAAAGAACACATTAGTTAATCTCAAAAAGTAGACTTCACACACTTCCCATCCAAGCCATTGGGCCAGCGGTACGAGGACTCCCACAGTAGATAAGTACAAACCAGGAGGTGTAGTAATCTTAGGGTCCCACTGTATAAAAGAAAAATGATAATAAAATAAGTACATTCATAATGTATGCCCATGCCTGAAGAAATCAAGTATCTTTGTTATCTAAAAACTATGCACTAATGTAAGTGTAAGTAATTACTCTTTTAGACACAATAAAAATACAGTCTGAATAGATCCTTTATGCACAATTAAATGTGCACTTACACCCTTAAACATCAGAGTAGTTTTTAAGCCATATGTAACCCTTTGCAGCTTGTTTACCTGCAATAAGTATCATATTTCTCATGAAAATAAATCTGGGGTTGTATCCAGTGTTCCCTCTAAGCTGCACAACAACCAATCAAATGCCATGTACTTAATTATTCCAGCTGTGCACATCCTCAGTGATGGTGAGAGGTCTCAACACGCTGATGGCCTTAATGACTCTGGCAGTCAATAAGCCTAAAGCCAAAATAACCAACTGGTAGCATTGCAAAGTGGCTTAATGGTTTAACAGGGTTGATGGTCTAAAAAACAAAAAAAAACTGATAGCACACATCTGCACATCGCCTTGATACTGGTCACACGAAAAAATTCATTCTGTACATGGGATTTAACAAATTAGAGGGAACATTGGTTGTATCAGATACTGTGTTTAGATTGTTCTCATTTATATATATGTATGCTATAGATGAAACTGGACGTAACCTAGCTACTTGAAAAGTGAATATATAATAGGAATTTGACATAAAGACCATTGAAAGCTCTCGAATAGCAGAAAATGCAGCTAATAACCTGGTTAGCTGAAAAGCCTATAGATGAGAGCACCTTCACACTAATTCATGAAATACAGCCTTTATCTAAACAACTAATTAATCAAGTTAAATTCCATCTTCCAGAATGTTTTCATTCTCATTAATAATGCACTAGACTTGATTTTAGGATTGCTTATTATCGAACACGTTTTTACCAGTTTCTAATTTTGAATTTTTTTCAACTGAAAATTATACTTTTTGTTTGTTGTTGAGAACAAAGCTACACAATGGGCTGTCTGTACTGTACCCACTAGGGTGCTGAAGCCAGGTTTTTAGCATCATAAAGCTTCAGACTTACTGCTGGACCTTTGGGGGGCCTAATACTTCATATTTCATGATTAATTTACTGCACTCTCTTTATTATTATTCGTTTCACTAATGACAAAAAAGTTATTCTATCTTACCTTAATTGTATTTCAATTTTAATTTTCTGTTACTTCTTTTATGTATTGATTTATTAGTTCTAACTGTTAATTTATTTTATCATATGCCTTGTTTAACACATTATTGTAACTTTATTCCTCAAGATTTAGTGTTTTTTGTTGAACAATGTTTTCTTTTTGATTTAAACTGTGCATTCAATAATAATTGTTGTCATCAACTGGTCTGAGTATGATAAACTATACAGTCACCAAATCACTGGTAAAAAAAAAAGCAACCTAAATGGTTGGTGTCAATTTGAATAATCATAATAGAAATAGAAAATATCATCCTCATAGAAATATTTTTGTATTTTTTTTTTTGTCTTTTCTTAATTAAATATTGTAAATGTAATACATATTTGTATACTATAGGTCAGGCCGTAACATTTCAAAATGTGTCCAAATTTTCTACTGAAAAAAATGTAACTTTACTGGAATAAAAAATGGTAGCAACCTCAAAAAAAGAAAATATTACACTCATACTTGGTCCAGATCAATATTTGCTAGTATTTCTAAGTAGGCTTGTTTTGCTTATTTAATTTAATTTTCATATAATTACATCTGCATTTTTTAAGGTCTATTTTTTTTCCCCAAAACCACAAACAGAATGATCCCAGGGATAAATAGTTAGTCACATGAAAAGATGTATAGATCTCTTAACTTATTCTTTTTGAAAAGTAATGGATAGAGGTGATTTGCTGTAGTATTCAAAATGATTGATAGCACTGATAAGACTAGCATAAAATATCCACTTCTGTTGTGGGGTTCAATGGCATCCTCATGATTCACAAAAGTCCCAATATTCTAATAACTCCAAATTACTTCTTTAGCTATCCCAATGGTAGTCTGTACCAGAAAACAACCCCATTAGGTCACATGCTTGTGGTACCTCAGTATGTGAGCCACATTTGGTCCTTCTAGCTTGTGAGTAGGGATATAAACACAATTTCAATCATGGCATTATCAATATCCTGAAGGTGGCCAAGAATACAAGATCCTATACTAGATTCGGATTCAACGATCCTTAAAACCTATTTCTAGACATCCATCATGCCTGGGTGACCTTCCAGCAGCATTTTCAACTCTCTTAGTAGGGGACTAAGCCATTTTGATAATGGCACCCAGAGTCCACCTGCAAAGTTTGGCAAAAGCCTTCTGAGGATCTAACTCTAACTTAGTCAAGTATACAAAATCCACACCTTTTCCATCACCCAGAAAACAAATAATGCTATTGAACTAAGTTTAAGCTGTATAAAATGACGAAGTTAACTGGTAACTATTACTAATATTGTGTCATAAAACCAAGCACCTAGAAGTCTGACCTACCTTGGTGAAATTTCCTTTGCAATAACTTTGTGTTTGTGGAATATGGAATATCTCATCCATATATGGAGTTGGCTGTGTACGATACATAATGTTGAACAAAATGATCGTACATACCGCATAAATTACAAATGTGAAAGTAAACATAAGAACTTGTTCTTTCTCTCTCCACATCATTATGATTGATTCAAAGTTAAACTTAGAAGATCTTGTACTCGACACAAAAGTTATCACTCATCGTATTTTTAGTACGCTATGTTAACAATAGGTGGATAGACACCTGTGAATCAAACTAAGACAGTGTTTTCTCGTGAACAACAAAAATCAAAAAACTGGCAACTTAATTTTTAATTACATAACCATAATGTGCGTGCGTGAAAAATAATAACGATATTATACTCTTCATGATTTAACAACTATATATTAAATATAGAATCTTCTGTAAATTTGCATGTCCATTAAATAAATTATGTCATAAACAAAAAATTCAAAAATTAAATAATATGGGCTCTGGTGTTTAACACACAAACTGGTTTGTGATAAATCATCATACTTATTAAACTGCAAGAAATGCAATAAGTTATGTATTAACTGTTTCATGAACATCCCAAGCAAGTATTAAAGCATGAGGTAGTTTGAATTTGGAGAGACCGTGGAAGACATAAGTTGACTTATGTCAATACTCTATCTGAATGGATGAATGTATTGGCACTGGAAATTCTTTGTGCTACAAGGAAAAGGTATCTGTGGAAGACCATGGTCACCAACGTTCTGTTTGGACATGGTACATAGAGAGAGAGAAATTGAGTTTATGTGTCTTACTAGCAAGCGCTAGTCATTGCCGTGCATATATAAGTGTAACTGTACAGCTAGTTGATTAATCTGTTAGTAGAGCATTCGCCTATCGTGGTAGGTACCACGTTTAAATCCGATTCGAGTAAGTAATAAAATTGAAATTAACAAAAGAAAAATTGGCGTCCAACGTAGGGTCTTATTTGAGACAAACCGTCTTGAATTTATTAAAGGGAAGGAAAAAGTGTTTTATCCCCGAATTCCTCAGCTTATAATAAGGGTTTATTATGGTAAAAATCAGGTTTCGATACCCACAATGGACAGATCACAGATAGCCCATTTTTTTAGCTTTGTGCTTAACAACAAACAAACAAATTTAAAGTCCTCTAAAGATTTTTTTCAGATAGTGGATTATCTTATCAGCAGCTCCTTTTTTATTTCTAAACATTCAAAATAAACATATTTTATTTACCTGAAGACAGAAAAACAACAACAAAAACCTGAACAAATCACATATGTCAGATCCTAGTCAAAACATCAACTTTTTTGGAAAGTAAATACTCATTGACTTTTAAAATAGGACCCGTCAGTTATTTATCTGCAAAGTAGTTGCTCGGCAAACAGTATTAGTATCCAGGGTGAATAAACAGTTTTGTCTCAGAGAAACTAAAACTGGAACATCAACTGAAGCTTACTTTAGTGACTGAAATTCCTGTTCACACTTTTCAATCCGTTTTGGTTTTAGTCAGTGCAGAGAAAAATACATCTATATTTGAGAAATTGGCCACAACATATCAATAGCATGACACAAAACCTAAGAAGCTTGATATCTCTAATTTTTTTGTTGGTTGGAGAAACCTTTGACATCTGTTATTGTCACAAAATCTGTAGGCACACTATCCTAAATCACAATATAACTGAGGAATTCCATCTATTCACACAAAATGGAACTATTTTTGTAGCTTTACCTTTAAGTCTGCTTTCCTTATCTGCTGAGAAAGTCTTCCTATATTCTCAACAGTAAACTGAAATGTGTGACTATATACCAAAATGTTACCCACATAAATCCAAAACCACTTCCATTGCAGCCCTTTTATTGTAAGCTCCATAAATTCAATAGTAGAAGGAGGTAACATGTGTTGAATGGCATAATATGGAATTCTTACAGGTCAAATGAAGCGCTTAAAGCCATCTTAGGTGTGCTTTCCTCATCTAACTCAACTTACCAGCATCTAGAAGTCATGCCTAACATATTGAGCCAATGGATGTCTTCCAGTGCATCCAATCTAGGGTAACAGTAAAGTATCAATACATGCCAACTCATTCAATGGCTAAAGTCCATACAGCACCTTGATATGTCTTCCTTCTTTTAAACAATCACTACTGAGGATGCCCAAGCACCCTCAAAAGATCGTGTTTCTCCATCTTTCAACATCTGCTAAATTTCAGCACTCACTACTTCCCTAGTGTTACAGGTAAACATGTTACTGATGTTGAGCTCATACCCACCTGATCCCATGAACATATTGGCAAACACAACTAGCAACTCATTGAGTTCCTCTCATTGTATTGACTCAAAATGGTTTGCACAATCCTTATCTAGTGACCACACAGATGTTTTTGCCCATACTTTTGCTCTTTGATGCAGTACAGCTGACGCAACTCTTGTTGAATAATTAAATATAATCACTTCTATTTCATTCACTATGTCGGTGGAAATTCCATTGTAAAACTGAATAGCTTATGGTCTATTATTCCAGATCAGCACTCAAAGAGATAAATGTTCGAGCAAGCACAGACTGACTTCTCGACAGAAAGATATGTTTCACAGATATAATTTATCACCTCGTTAGACTACGGCAATGTACTAAACTGCATCCATAACACACCACAGAACATCACTTATAGACTCAAGAGGCATTGTGACTTCTTCATTCATATTTACTTGTGCAATACAATGTTATAAGGCCCAATCGTGTTGACACTGGATTTTTTTTCACACAGAGCTGTATATCAACTATATCACAAGCTTTATATGCTCTCGAGACCTCCAGGCCACAAGTCATCACAGCAACCCTGAGTCGTTCATATTTCTTGTCTGTTGAAATTTGTTGCTCATATTTCCCACGAGGGCTATCTGCGCTAGCCGTCCCTAATTTAGCAGTGTAAGACTAGAGGGAAGACAGCTAGTCATCACCACCCACCGCCAACTCTTGGGCTACTCTTTTACCAACGAATAGTGGGATTGACCGTTACATTATAACGCCCCCACGGCTGAAAGGGCGAGCATGTTTGGTGTGACGGGGATTGAACCCGCGACCCTCAGATTGCGAGTCGAGCGCCGTAACCACCTGGCCAATAGTGTAATTGGAGAAGTATTGTTGTAGGCACCTGATAGAGTAAAACATGTAATCATATATTAGTTATACAGTGATGGCTTTTGAATGCAGTTACTGCATGAAAAAGACGTTTTTTTCTATTTTAGTACAGTATTTGAAAAACATTACTGCCACTCTCTGTATAGTAGGAAGTTTGCCATTTACGTGTAACATGCATCACTGAAATAACTTTTAGTCTTCAAAAATCTGGAGGGGATGACTATATGTTAGATAGCAACTTAGTAGTAGTACAGTTGTTTTGTACATTATTGGCCAATGCAGCAACAAAGATGCATTATCTTACTAGATAGTGAGAACATTTCTGTTCATTCAATGTCCAAATCCTGAACACTATGCAGCTGTGAAAGCCAATACATTAGCAATGACTAGTACCATACAGTGAGTAATGATTCTACAAAGGGGCAAACTTTATGGATACCACGTCAGAAGTTACCATAAGGAAACTAAATAACTGGGATGTAGTTTGGGTGTTACTTGCAGTGTTGCAAGGTGAAGCACAATTGTTACGGATAGGAGAAAATGCATTATGGATGTGTATAATCTGTGGCACTTGTATGAGTGCAGGAATGTGTGTAGTATCACTGCTACAAGTGGCAGAGCTGTGATGCTCAATCTGTGATGCAACTAGCAGTCCACAAATCTCTTAGATAAAATATATTTAGACCTTGCATGATTCAGTGGCTGGAGGGTACCAGGATGTCTCTACACTTATGCAAATGTGTGAAAGCTGTTTTTCTGGCTGATTTCACATTAAGACATTGATCATTGGTGCAAACCCCAAGCTTTCCTGGTGCCCAGAGGATAAAGTAAGCACGATAACGAAAAGTTTTGAAGAGAGTTGTAGGTTTCCCTTTGCAGAGAATCACCCTAGACATAGCTGACCCCATACAGAAGAGTGAAAACCCAATTAGTATGAGTTGGTTTTAACTTATTACTTATCCAAGTGGACTGAAGCTTATCTGTTGGTTGCTATGTTAGCACACTCCATCACTAACATGTTCGTTGGACTGTGGATAGCATAGTTTAGAGAAATTGAAGATTTTTGTAATGACAAAGGGGCTAATTTCAACAGTCATCTCTTTGCTAATTTGTGTAAGGTGTTAGATGTGGTGGCACACTTCGTCATATCACACACAGTCTGATGCTGGCTGAACTGACTGAGATGAATACCTGCCATACATCATAATGACATATCATACAAAATAGAAAACTGAATTGGTTTTATTCAAGTCTACTGAGAAATACAGCTTCCTATGAATGTGGAGTATGGTTTGCCACTCAGTGCAGAGTGATATAGTGTCTACAGGGCTACGTCGAACGGTTGAGGTATGTGTTAATTGTTGCACATGAATTTTCACACCATTCATTGGAGAAAGCTGACATATGGCAAAAGAGATGCTTCGACAAATCATAGAAAAATAAAAGTTTGAATGTTAGAACTTAGTATGACATTGGTGTGTGCCTGCCACACCAAAATAAGTTAGTTTCAAACTATAGGCTGCAACATTCAAATTGTATGCATAAGTATACTGAACACATTAACAAATCTTATGCCATTTATGTGTTTCTCGTGCACTGGTTGGATCGGTGATTGAACTGTACGTTGAGGAAATTGATAGGTCATATGACAGTGAGAGCAACGTGCTGTTTAATTCTAACTCAGCTGTTGAGGAGGTATATCTGGCTGCCCAAAAGAAGTCAAATGAATAAATGCTAGTAAAGGAGCGGATTGACCAACTGATGGTTGGTTAAGACACCGGCATCAACCATCTAATTATTACAGTTGGTACTGGCTGCTTGTCCAACAGTAAAACTGCTAATTTATTGACACATATTTGGCCAAAAGGAAGTAACATTTCATTATTTTCCAATCTATCAATCAGTTGTTCACGGTAGTCGCTTGATTACATTATAACTGGGACAGCTGATGGTATTAGATGTAATGCCTAAAACATTAACAGCTGAAGCGACTGTAAATGATTACTGCATCTACAGTAGGAAATTACTTTTTGATCCTTCTCTTTTGACCACCATGGGGGTATTTTGTGGTTAA